ACGGCGAACTCAACTCTTGGGTCAGTCCTATTGGAGTGGAAGGTTCCAAGGCTAGGGGCCCATACAGAAGTCCAAACAGATTTAATATTTCTGAGTTTGGTGAATGCCCATTACATATTTACCGTCCTTAGAGCTTCAGATACACTGACTTTTTTTTTTTTTTTTTTTTTTTTGTCTTTTTCCTTTTTATTGGTACCGGGGATCGAACTCACAACTGCCTGTTTGCAAGGCAGGCGCTTATGCCGCTGAACTAAATCTCCAGCCCCGATACACTGACTCTTTATTATCCTCACAGTAACATTAAGTTACTGATAATAGTGCTACGAACTTAATTCTTTCCACAGTTCTGGTTGCAAACCAAATTAAATGAGAATGGAATCAGTGATAACCTTGCAAGAAAATTCGATCAACTTTCTTCAAATTCAGTTTGTGATCAGAATTGTGGAAAGAATTAAATTCGTGAATCAAGATACTACTGTATTAGCTTCTTCCCCAGCTTCTTAACTTTCTCTTGAGAAAATCTCAATTGCTCAAACTTCAAAGCTGTGATATTCAATCCAGGTATTTCCTTTATATGACTATTACTTCCTTACTTACAAAATAATCACCTCCTTCCTTCTTTACAAACAAAACCAAAAATTCTTTATTATTTTTCCTGAGTAATATAGTTTATGTTGAGTAATATAGTAAGAGTAATATAGTTTATGTTGAAATATTGGAAAATTTAGCAAACATAAAAAAAATCTCCCACTGTCTTACTCTCTGGAATTGACAAGTCACATTATTTTGGTATTTTCCTTTTTAGACCTTGTAATAATATGTTTTATGTTGCTATGACAAACTGAGGCTTAGCATCTTATAAGGAAAATAAATCTAGTTAGCTTACAGTTTTGGAGATTTAAGAGCATAGTGCTGGCTTCTGTTTGGCTCTGTTAAGGGCCTCATGAAATGGCATCACAATAGCAGGAGCATTTGCCAAAGAGATCAGCTGTCATGACAGGAAGTCAGAAGATTCAGAGGTCAAGCTCAGGCTCACTTTTTTTTTTTTTATAGCAACTCATTCTCTTGAGAACTAACAAATGTCCCATAGAACTACATTAAGCCTTTCCAAGGACAGTGCCCTATGACCTAGTTACCTTAAGCTAAGCTCCACCTCTTAAAATATCTTGTAACCTCAACGCTGCCACACTGTGGATCAAGCTTTTAACACAGGAGTCTTTGAGAAACACACTCAGATCCTATTCAAACCTTAGCATCTTTTTTTCTATATGTATGCACAAATAGTTGTACTTGTGTATGTGTATGTGTCTCATACATACACTGTAGAATTGTATACCCTGTAGTTTACTTAGCACTTCCACTTAAGAAAGTCAGACTTTACTTTCTAAAACTACACTTTTTTTGGAAACAGGGTCTTGCTATGTAGTTCAGGCTGGACCTGAATTCACTTTGTAGCCTAGGCTGGCCTTGAACTCCTGGAGACGCTCCTCGTAAACCTCCTGTGTGCACCACTACTCCCCGCCAAAATTACATCTTAATCGCACTTGTTATACCCTCAAACTTAAATTTTCTGATTTTTTTCCCATTTCAGAATATGTCTACTCCACTCTTCTAGTTGATCAGTTCAAAATCCCCACTGATCCTTAATTTGTCATTTTTTTCTCATATAGCATGGCTAATGTGTTAACAAATTTTTGACTACTTTCCAAATATTTCCAGGATCTGACCATGCAATACCAGTTTCAATTCTGCCACCCTACTTCTAGCCATGTCTTATTTGAATTATTACAGCCTCCTAACAGGTCATCTTTCTAGTTTTCTTGTTAGTTTTGTTTTGGTACTGGGGATTGAATCCAGCGTTTTCTCAATGAGCTACATCCAGCTCGTTCTCTAGTTTTTAATTTGAGATGAGGTCTTGGTATGTTACAAGGTTGCCCAGGCTGGGTTTGAACTTGAGATCCTGTTGCAACAATCTGCCACAATGCTGGTATTACAGGAATGGGTCACCGCACCAGGCTCATGGTCCTTGTATTTTAAAATAGAAATTTGGAATATGCAAATCTACAACTAATGGAAATGATTATCTGTTAGTGCCATTAGGCAACATGCACACTTGTAGGAATGACCTGGGAAGATTCTGGGTACTTCGATTTTAGAAGATGGGTCAGTTTTCCTGAAACATCTGGACAGCTTTGTACTGGAAGTGATCTGGTGAGCTACTTTCCAAGATCTCTAATGTCTTCTACCAATCAGTATGAGCCTGAGTTATTGCAAGTGTACAAAAGACTTGTAAAGAACTATTTAGAAGTGAGTTGGCAAGATAGCCAGATATAGGTGAAAGAGCATGGCCCTTGAAGTCAGGCAAATTTGGATCTGAGTCCCTCCTTCAGTACTTAGTAGCCACAAGGCTTTGGATAAAATTTTAAATCAACCTTAGTGCTCAACACATAAGTGCTTAGTAAATGTTAGTTTTCTGATTATTTCTATTTGACTTTCTTCATATGGAGAGGTAGATTAGTGATCAGAACTCAGCTGAAACTCTGAAGGAAGCCTTTGTATAACTTACTGCACATTACCTTTTCCTGTGTCGTTCTGGTCTGTGAACCCTACCCTTTTCCTGTTTGCTCCCAGTTCTATCTCTTAAATTGAGGAATGTCTGGGCTCTGCCTTAATTTTCCTTCCGTTGACTGTGGCCTGGAAACTCTCTCCATGCAGCTATTTGGCCAATTCATGTATTCACCTTGCTTGTTACCCATCTCTATGGGATAACATCCCCTTTTTTGCCTGTTAGGCCATTCCTTTCAGAAAGCATACCTCTTTGTATTTTGTCATTCTTTTAATTTTTTGGTCACTTTTACTCTATCTAGATAGAAAAAGAATCTAGATTTTTTTTGCTTTTTGTTTAGAGGTGAAATTTAGGGCCTCCACATATGCTAAACAAGCACTCCACCACTGAGTTACATGTCCAGCCTTATTGTCTAATTTTTATATTTTCTGTATTTATATTTGTTAGTGTTTGGTTTTGATTGTTTCTACCATAGGCTCTATCTCACTGTTTAAAAATTACTGCCAGTACATTTTTTTTTCCTGGTTTTTTTGAGGTAAAGTCTCACTATGTTGCCTATGCTGGTCTTCCTACCTCAGTTTCTCAGTTAGTTGTGTATACAAGTGCTCCCCACTCTGCCCACCTATTGCCCTTAATTTTCACATACTTTTTAATTGAATGTTTATTTATATATAAATTTTCTATACCATTCATGTTGATATTTGGTATGGAAAAGGAATCTAGTTTTTTTCCCTTTCACCTTTTCTTATTTTATCTCTTCCCTCTCTTTCTTTCTGTGTATATTTTACAAGCAGAAAACCAATTGTCTCTGTAGTATTTGTTATGTAATCCTTCATTTTGACATGATTGCAAATGTCACTGGTGACATAAGTTATTATGATTGTAGTACCATATTGGATTTTTTTTCCCATGGAAAAATCTACAGATCTGGAGCAAATATATGTATTGTATATATGGAATGGCATCCAGGGTCTTGTATGTGCAAGATAAAACACTCTATCACTGAGCTACACCCCAACTTTATTATTACTATAGTTGTGTATAATATATATTTTATTATCTGATAGGCATATCCTTTTTATTATATAACTTTTTTTGATCATTCTTTCAAATTAATTTTGAAATTCTTTTATAAAATTTCTAAAATAAGCCCAAAACACTTAATGTTATTATTATTTACAATTCATTCCAGAAGTTAATTTGAAACACAAGTTATGTTTGCAGTACTTTGTCCGTCCAAGAATGTTAAAATTATTCATCTATTAGACATTTATAATTTTATCATGCATTTATACATACGTAGCTAAGTTTCTGCCTACGTATTTTATACTTTCCTTTCGTGAATGGAATTTTTCCAGAGTAACTCATTATGATTGATACATAAACTATTAACTTTTGTACATTTTCTTTAGTTAGTAACCTTACGTCTTACAATAATAAGTACTTTTTCTCTCAAGTAATCATGTATTTCATGAATTTTGAAAATTTGAGTTTTTAAATAACTTTTATGTCTTTTTCTTCTACTGTGCAGAAGTTCCATAGGAATTTTATAAAACTGCAGCTCTAATAGGCTTTTTGTTTGTATGTCTTTTTTATAGTGGAAATCCTGTTTAAATCTCCCATCTACGACCCTCTACAATCATCTTTATCCAAACAGAAAAACTGGATGCAAAAAACTTCCTGCATAGTTTTCATTGTATTTAAAAAATTTAAAAAAATACTTTTCTGAGCTCTTTGGCATTTAGACAAAGAAAAATTCGTTGATTTTTGTCTTAGATTTTGGTAATTTATTTTGATACAATAAACTTCCTATCTATCCTTTAACTGTATGTCTCTATATCTTACATTTCTTTTGGCCTCTACACGGTTCTTAAAGAGAAGTCCTATCCACAAGGTTTTGATATAAAATAAACTCATTTTGGTCTTTCCTGTGGAGCCACAATTATTGAACAAATGTTTTTGCTAGCATTAAATTGTATGTTATTAAAAAATATAGGCATGGATAAAGTCTTTACTCTATATTTCCAAAATACAACTTTATATTTTATAACGTCTAAGGATTTTTCTCAATGTTTTAAGGCATACTAAAGCATATTTATAATTTTTTAGTGTCTCAACAGATAAAGTTAACTGACCATCATCACTATTAGTTCAAAGTATAGATATGGATAAAGTCTTTATACTTACAAAATACAGCTTTATATTCAATAATATCTATCCAAAGATTTTCTCAATGTTTTAAGTCATACTAAAGCATCTTTATAATTTTTTAGTGTCTTAGCAAATGAAATTAATTCACCATCATCACTGTTAGTTCAAAGTATAAGCGTGGATAAAGTCTTTATACTACCAAAATACAGCTTTGTATTTCATAATATCTAAGGATTTTTCTCAAAGTTTTAAGACATACTAAAATATCTTTATAATTTTTTAGTGTCTCCGCAGATGAAGTTAATTTACCATCATCACCGCTTGCATGGCAGGTAAAAGGAAATTAAATTATTACCATATATTCTATCTTGTTCTTATTTGTTTAGTTGAAAGAAATTGTCTCATTACAGCCCTTAGAAAATCAGAAGGATCAAATAGATGAGCACCAGTGGCCAGAATCTCAACCTATAATTTGGCAAAGTGAAGAGAGGAGGCGGAGCAAGCAGATTAGAAAAGAATATTTCAAGGTATTTCATTAAATTTTAAAGTTGTATTTTTATTTATTAATTTTGATTTTTATGAGTTTTAAGTTAATTTTTAGTTGAAGCTAGATTATACTTTAGCATATGAATATAGTAAGTATGTTTATCTTGGTTTTCAATACTAAACAGAAGTCATTGGCAATTGCCTTGAATGAACAGTATGAACTTGTTACTGCTCTGTAAGTAGAAATTTTACTGTCTGGTACCTTTTCTATTTCCCAAAGTATAATTATTGTCTAATAATAATTTTATCTAAACACATAGTATTTAGTTAAATTATGTGTAATACACAGTTTAATATCACTAATAAATAGGGTTTATTTTCTGTTTTTCTTTTTGGTAGAAATACCTTTCTCAATGTATATTTATCTGTTCCCATATGTGGGAACATAACATAGAAGTAGTATCATAAAAACAAAAAAATAGTTATATGTCTTAGAAAATCTGTGAAGAATTTAAGCCAACAACATATAATTGCTGAGGCCTTTTAATAGAACTTGTGTTAATAGGCCAATATGAGAGATACTGAAGAAATAAAAAGAAATGAAAAAAAAGGAAAAGACACTCTAAGAAGAATCCTCATCAGCAATCCCAAAAGTCTGTTTTTTCTAACATTTTAAAAATCCATACTTAGTTTTGATTTTGGTTCTTTTTTGTTATTTGTAGACCTTGAATTACAATTAATTTTGACCAGGCACTGATCAAAATTAGTTTATAGATAAATGTTGATAAATGACTGATGATGTGGGGAAAATTTTAGTATTTCTGAATAATAAAAGATTTGATGTTCATTTGATCTCCATTATTCTAATATAATCAAAACATATCAAGGCACTTTATAGCAAATACTAAGTGTCAGGCACTTCTCTAAGTGCTTTACAAATAATCAACTCATTTAATCTTCAGAACAACCCTATAAGGTATGTGCAGTTATTACCATTTCTGTTTTATCAATGGAGAATTTAAGGCAAGTTTGGCTAAGTAGAAATTTAAAGAGTACATAGGATCTAAAATGTATATTGTGAAATGAGAAGAAACTGCTCAAAAGGAAAGACCAACTGGGATGGGGGAAAGGAGAAAAAAAGGGGAAGAGAAAAAAAAAAAAAAAATATATATATATATATATATATATATATATACAAGACAGGGCTGGGAGTTTAGTTCGGTTATGTAAGTGCCTGCCTGGCAAGTGCAAGGTCTTGAGTTCGATCTCTGGTAGCAAAAAAAAAAAAAAAAAAAAAAATATATATATATATATATATATATATATATATATATATATGCAAGACAGCTAAGGTAATTATACTACTAATTTCTATTAGTTCCTTGAAAAAAAAGGTTTGTGCTTACATTGTTTGATCAATTTTTCTTACCTATGTCTTGTAATCTGAGCAAATGCTTTTGCAGAACTGGTGATCAAACTCACAACCTCACACTTGCCAGGCAGGCGCTTATGCCACTGAGCTAAATCTCCAGCACTGAGCAACTGCTTTGAAGATTACTGTATGCAATATATTAATCAATGTTAATCTCCTATTGTTTTGAAATTTTGTATTGTTTTTATTGTTCTTTCTCTTTAAAATAAAAAAGATTGGCTAAGTAGAATGCTCACTTAACTAATAAGCAGAGTTAAGATTTGAATTCAGAGGATATGTTATGCTTCTTCTTTATCTACTGTAGATAGTGTAATATCAAATTAACAAGTACTTTAAAATTAATACAATTTCACTGTTTAAAAAATAGACCCCTAAGCCTGGTGTGATGATGCACGCCTGTAATCCCAGCACTTGGAAGGCTGAGGTAGGGAAGATCACCATGAGTTTGAGGTCAGTCTGACTACATGGGAAAACCCTTTTTTTAAAAAGACAACAGAGAGAGAGAAAGAGAGAGAGAGAGAGACAGACAGAGACAGAGATAGAGACAGAGACAGAGACAGAGAGAGGGAGAGAGAGAGGAAAGGGAGGGAGAGAGAGAAGATAAAAGATGATTTGTTTATTAGCATCATTTATTAATTTTTTATGACTTAAAACATTTCTTCTAACATGTTGGTTATGTTATATAGCTGTTAGTAGATCAAATGGGATAATATTTGAAGTATCCATGCATAATCATTCAATAAATGTTACTTGTTTCTTGATAAAGTTGGTGCCAACATCAACTTTCAATTACCGTGGTTTTAAGATGTGTAGTTCTCCGCAATTGTCAGCAGATGTCAGTGTTAGTGCATTGCGAAAGATTTAAACAAGTTGACAGTTTTTCTGTCAAGAAGATACACATGCAGTGGGGCTGAGAGTATAGCTCAGTGGTAGACCATGTGCTTAGCACTAAGATACTACTTCCTAATTTAAACCTGAACTATAATTCAGAACTGCCAGAATTTTCATGATTAAAATATCCGAGAGTTTTTCAAAAATAGAAAAGAAATTTAATCACAGATCTGAGAATTAAAAAGGTTATTTATAGGATCTGCTGTTATGCCTAATCTGGATCTATAGTTCATTAAGGAATAAAATACATTCCTAAGGATGTTTATACCAAATTGTTGCTGGATAGTAATGACTCCTTTAGCTTGCTGTGTTATAAAACATACAAGCTTTTGTGTAACTTATCATAACATAGATAAAATGACTAAGCCATTAAATTTCTGTTTCTGTCCCATGGTAAATTATTTGTGAGCTGTTTTTCAGTGCATTTACTAAAAGTGTTTGTGTTTATGTACATAATGTGTGTGTGTGTGTGTTTGTGTGTGTGAAATTGGGCTCTTCATTTTTAATCCAGTTGACAAGACCAGTGTAGGGTAGTATTTTTTTCAAGTAAGCCCATGAAACTAAGTAAAAAAAATATCAACCTATTGGCCTGAGTATGTATACAAGAAGATAAATGAGGTCAGGTTATTTCAGTAAGTAAATCATAATAGGAGAACAAGCCACTATTGTGAATATTACTATTCTAGCATATAAAATTGGGTGTTCTTATAGCCACAGTAGGTCCAAGGTTGTATCTCAGGGGTAGAATGCTTGCCTGCCATGTGAAAGGCTCTGTGTTTAGTTTCCAGGAAGAAAAGGAAGGAAAGAAAGAAAAGGAAGGGAAACCAGGAATGAATCAATCTTCTTTAATTTTTTTGGATATCTTTTTGCTGTCTTTGAACTTTTCTTCTGCTTGCTGTTAGATTCTTGTCTTTTTTTTTATTACTCTAAAAGCTTTCTCTGAAGTGTTAATGACTTAAATATTTCTTGTATTCTACTGAGTCTTAATTCACATCTCGTAATGTTGTCTGTTCTCTAAACCTATATTTCTAATTGTCTGGCCTTAAATGTATATTAAATTTAATGTCTCTTCCCACTGCATATGATTTAACTTTCTCCTCTGTTCTTTTTTTAAAGTTAATGATAGTAATGTCTCCTCCATTGTCTTAACTCTATACTTCAGTCTTCTTTTATTCTTTTCCTCTTTCATTCTTACCTGGTTGGTCACTCTATTAATCCGCTTTTTGTCACTGTTACCAAGTACCTGAGAAAGTCAACTTTGAGAAGGTAAAGTTTATTTTGGCTCATGGTTTCAATTCTTAGTCAGCTGGGCTGCACTACTTTTAGGCTCTTGATAAGGCTGAAATTTCATGGTTGGAAGAGCATGGCAGAGGAAAGCTGCTTAATTCATGGCACTTAAGAAATAGAAAGAGCACAAATAAGCCAGAGAAACGATAACATTCTTTAAAGGCACGATCCCAGTTGGTCCACCTCCCAATAGCTCACTTGGCTTTGAACTGATCAGTACATTAAATCTTATAATCCAATCAAGCTTGCAAAAAGATTATCCTAGTCATTGTCACTGCTAATAATATGTATCCTTTTTCCTATCCACCTCTATCTCTATTGCCTTTATCTTTGCTGGAACACTTATACTTCTTGTATGGACAACTGTAATATATTCCTAATAGTTCCCCTTTCACCAATCCCTTGAATCAACCCCGGACTCTCTATGCTTTCTTTATTGGCTCTCTATTACCAATAAGATAAAATTTGTACTTCTCAAAATTTAATGGACCATTTCTTATTACTTTTCAAATTTCGTTACCTACCACAACTCACTCTCCTCACCAGCTTCACTTACATACACTTTGTTTTCCATAGAAGTGTGCCTTTTTATTTCTTTGTGCTTCCCCTTCTGAAGATGCCTATTAGCCCTTTTATTCCTGGCATATTCCTAGTAATCATTTGAGATTTAGACATAAGAGTATGGCATAGTGCTTGAGCTTTTAGAATCAAATCACTTAGCTCTTAGTCCTTACTTAAAATACTTACTATGTGAATCTGGCAAGTCACATAATCTTACTGATTTTATTATTTTTTTTTCAATCTATAAATGGGTCTAATATTACTTTCCCTTGTAAGACTGTTAAAACTTTTAAATTATTTAATAACATTTAATAGCATACAGTGCTTACAATATCACTGGGAGCAGCGTAATCATTTAATAAATACTGGTATATTATTCACTCAATGTCACTGTTTCATCCGAGTAGAACAAAACCAAAAATAATTTACTTCAGTAAGCATCTTGCGTAAGGATGGCAAATTGGTTACTTTTCTTTTCTTTTTGTTTTTTGCTGTTGTTATTGTTTTGTTTTTTCTTTTTTGCTCATACGTCACTCTATGACTTTCTGGAACACTATATTGAAAGTATGTTGAAGCTGTGTCTGGGATCAGATGGAAAGTTTAATTACAGTTGTCAAAGGAACATGTCTTATATTCATAATTCCATCACAGTTTACTCCCCAGTTTGTGTTTAAGATATCAGGTAGAATATTTTTCCAAGAAATATGGAAGATATTACTGCATTAATAAAGAGGACTACTAAAGAAAACCTTGAATATCAGGTGAAAAAATTTGGATATAATCTAAAAATTAGTAAGTTTTTCAATAGGACAGTCATGAGTTGCAAGCAGAAGCACAGTCTACCTCTGGTTCACAGGCTCATTTCCAGTAAGAAGGAATCAGAACTTTGGTAGTTGTCATACTGTGTGTATTTGATTCTAAGAAACTTTTTGGCACATGCTAGTATTTTTTTATATCAAGCACATTACCTTTGTATGTCATTGTGAAACAAGGTTAATAGTACTACCTCATAGGATTGTTATAGAAATTAAATGATTAATACATATAAGGCACTTGAATTAATACTGGTTTCTAGTCAGCCATAGTGTGTTAGCTATTATCACTATTACTGTTATTATATAGTCAGTATGTATGTTTAACATAGTATTCTTTTAAAATCTGAAATCAGTAGATTTCCTAATAATAGATGACATCTTACAAAAGTGAGATTACAGACCAGCTGAGAGCTCATAAGGGTCTGAGATAGGATGATAGTTTTAAGAATTCAGAAGAGGCAAGTCAGAGAGAGATTGTAAAAGAACTGACTTGGTAACATACTGGTATAGTGAATTAATAAAGAAATCTCTAACACAATCCATAGGTTGCAAACCTGAAAGAATGGGAAATGGATTTGCTTAGGAAGGAAATAATACTTGGTATGTTGAAAGTATTTTAAACAGTGCCTTGTGTATAGAAAACATTATGTATGTTAGTAGTAGAACTATTTCAACTGGCTACATACTTAAGTTTAATATTAAGTAATTTAATAACGTTACCAAGATATGAATAAACTTCACATGGAATTTGCTAGTAGATGGTGTTGAAAAAATAAAGTATGCGTTTTAAATATTTTTCAGTACAAATCAATGAGGAAGAGTTCAAGTGGCAATGAAAATGATGAGGTGAGAAAAAGATGGTAATATTAATTATGACTTGAAATGTTTGTTTTTTTGTGTTTAGTTGGCTCAATCAGTTAAATATAACCCATTTTTTAGTGTCATTGTTGTGGATTTAGTGTATGGGTTTCTCTAAGAATAAAAGCTTCTGAGCATTACCATGAAATTGTTAATCAAATCATGTAATTTCTATATTTCCTATAGATGAAAATTTCTTTAGATTAGTTTTAGAATTTTATTATCATTTGTCACAGACCTATAGTCCATGAATTTAAATTCATTAACTTTCCCCCTTTTTTAACTTCTTAAATCTAAGGAATGGAAATGGTAGTCAATTGATACTTTTTTAGGAACTCTTTTTAGAACGTCTTTGCACATATTCTGTACAGTGTTTTAATTACATGTATAGTTGATACATGACCATAAACTTTTCTATTATACCAGATTAAACTGCACTGCAGACTAACATTGTTGAAATGATACATTCTCATCACTATAAATACCTGAGTTTTATGTATTTTTGGTTGAGGAAATTGGTAGTTAATTGATGTTGGACACTTTGCAGCATTTCTAAACATGCCTTTATTCTTAAATAAAATCATGCAAAAATAATAAGTGGAGCAAGATGATTTCTTTTTCCACAGCTCAAATGCCAAAATTTCTCCATATGCTTTGTCCCAGTAGAGTATACTGGGATAAAAAAAAAATTGGCAGTTATGACAAAACTGTCTGTCTTTTTACTGTTGGTATCTATGGTTAAGCCTAAATGACATGCTTTGTATAGATATGCTTGGTAATATTTGCCTGTTTTTTTTTTTTTTTTTTGTCTTTTTGAGACAGTGTCTCATTATGTAGTTCAAGCTAGCCTTAAACTCACTTTGTAGCCCAGGTTGTCCTTGTACTCACAGCAATCCTCTTACTTTAGCCTCCCAAATGCTGAGATTACAGGTGTGCATCACCAGTTTGTAAACACAGTCAATTCCTGTACTTGACCTTAGTTTTCCATTGCAATAGATCTGCAAATCTCATTTTTTTTTCCCTAAAAGATAAATGTTCTCCAAATGATGGCCCACTGTGTTGTTTCTCGAGTGACTTTTAGCTTGGCAAGATTTCAGTGAATAACATCTGTTGATATGGGCAGAAAAATGACGGACTCCAAAAAACTAAAAAAAGTGCTTTATTAGCTGAGCTCAGCGGTCACACTGTCCCTGATGGCAGTCAGAAAAGTGTACACCCTGAGCCAGGGCCTGCAGAGAGTTATAAAGTAGCAAGCCGTAAAGGCAGGGGTTAGAGTCTTAGGATCAGTTTGTCCCCATAAAGGAACCAGGGAGGCAGAACAAGCAGTTACAGGAACCAGGGAGGCAGAACAAGCAGTTACAGGAACCAGGGAGGCAGAACAAACAGTTACAGGAACCAGGGAAGCAGGGAGAGGAATGTTACATGGTGGGTATGTTACAAGGTTGGTATGTTACAAGGTTGCAACTTAACTGGCAATTACACAAGTTTTACAGGAAGAGAACAGGTTATAATAAGTACAGCACATTTTGGATTTTTGAGGTTATAATATCCCCCACTGCTTTTTATCATCGAGTCAAATCTTTTTGACTCTGTTGCATAATCATATGTGGGTAACTGGTTATATTCTTCTTGCCTAAATACAAACATTTTAACAGCTTGAAGTCCGTCCTGGTTTAGAAGGCACTTTGTAATGTATGGCGCTAGACAGCTACAGCAAGTAAAAAGGGACTAATTGGTCCTATTAGAGCTGAGAGTAGGGTGGTCAGTCAGGGGGACAGTGAGAACAGGTTTTGGAACCAGTTTTGATTAAGTTGTCATTGTTGCTCCCATTCATGGGATCTTTATTTTAAGCTTGTTTATATTATCTTGTATGACTCCAGAGTGATTGGTGTAGAAACAGTAAGCCTCTTCTAAGGCTACGCATAAACTACATTTTATGAATAATACATCTAGGCCCTTACGGTTTTCAAGAACCGCTTCTATCAGAGACCCTAGGGATTCTTCCAATTTGGATACAGAATGTTTTAGTATTGCCACATCTTTGTCCATTGGGACACTTATTTCTCGGTAGTTTTGGTCACCAATTATTAAGCTTGTAGCTCCTGATGCTGTGGCTCTAGAGAGACCTAGTCCCATCAGAACTAGTATTAACATAGGGACTGCTCAAGCCATCCTAAAGAGGTCAGATTCTAAATTTAAGTTTTTTATTCCACTAGTGTCAGAATACCAGTAAACTTAGGAAAATACATGTGCAAGAATACATAGTTTTGTATGCCTAGTAAATATATCAAGCATGACACAAGGAGTTAAACCAAAGTACAAGCAAACCAAGATCCTGTAGCAGTTTCCAGGTGTTGACTTGGTGCATAAGAGACATTCGTTATTACAATAGAATCAGAACATAAGTTTGCATAGGGACTAGAGTTGAGGTTATAGGCAGCAGATCTGATACCGTTCTATTACCCTGAATATTTCTTAAGGTAAGGATAGGTCATGTTCAAGAGGCAATGCAACCATTTCCCAACAAGCAAGAGAAACCATCATTATCAAGAACATTTTGACAGTTTGAGTCTTAGAGGGTGTTCAGTCTCAGTAAAAGTCCACTTATCTGTATCCTGGGTATCTGGAGGGAGGACCTTGATGTGTGAGTGATGTATCCAGGTAGGTTTTCCTGCTACTTTGACAGCCATAGGGGTGCCTGAGGACAATGGTGTATGGTCCGGTCCAGCGAAATTCAATAGAAGATTTGCAGGAACAATGCATAAGTAGCATTCAGTCTCCCGGGCTTGTGGCCAGAGGGGTCTCTGGTGTGTGTGGCTTGCTTGATGGTCTTGGGAGAGTTGGTGGATGGAAGTCAGCACAGGTTGAAGAGCCTGCAGGGCCTGTGGTTAGCAGTCTCTGCCAAATGGATACTACCAAGGTGGGCAATGAGGGGGTGGTGGTCTAACAAAGACTGCCTCAAAAGGGGTTATTCCATTTATATACGGAGTACAATGCGCATGCAAGAAGGCAAAAGGAAGAAGACTCAGCCAGTTTTCGCCAAACTCTAAAATCAATTTGCTAAGCATCTCTTTGAAAGTTCAGTTCATCTTTGCAACTTGACATGAACTTTGGGGATGGTAGACACAGTGAAATTTCCAATCAATCTGTAATAACTGAGCAATTTTATTAGTAATGAAAGCTATGAAAGCCAGGCCATTGTTGGACCCCATAGATAAGAGAAGGCCAAATCTAGGAATTATTTCATATAAAAGCTTTTTGACAGCAATTGAGGCTGATTTGGTCTCCGTCAGGTATCCCTCTGTCCATCCGGTGAAAGTATCCACCAGAACCAGCAAATACTTATGTCCATGTAGTCCTGGTTTTCCCATGTCTGTAAAGTTAATTTCCCAGTGTTCTAGAAAAGTTCCCTGGTATCGAATTCCCTGTGAGATAGTGGTAACTTTGATATTTACATGCAGAGCTCTTGTTTTTGCTCTCAGTCATCTAGCTAGCTCTTGATCTGACTCGGAATACACCAATTGGCGAACAAGGGGGTGGCAGAACTGGCAGCAAATGGGACGTAGACTGTACAGATGACTTTAGAGCTGCCTCCGGAGCATTCCTGTCAGCGAATGCATTTCCTATCGAGATTGGATCTTTCCCATCTGGTGGCCCCTACAATGTACCACTGCTATAGATTTGGGGAGCTAGACAGTGGCTAACAATTCCAGGATAAAAGGAGCATTCTTTTTTTTTTTTTTTTTAAACCGGTACCAGGGATCGTGAACTCACGACCACCTGCTTGCAAGGCAGGTGCTTATGCCGCTGAGCTAAATCCCCAGCCCCAAAAGGAGCATTCTTAATCTTTGAACCAGTAGAGGTTAGGAGCCCCCCTCTCTTGGTAGATTGCCCAATGTACATGAACAATAGCAAAAGCATAACAGCTATCCATGTAGATAGTTGCCCTTAGATCCTTAGCCAACTTTAGGGTCTCCGGGAGGGCAATGAGTTCGACCATTTGAGCGGAGGTGCCTTGATCTAGGGGTTGGGCCCAACTTACTTGTGTTTGAGTGGTTATGGTCACCCCTGCCACATGTTTACCTTCAAAAAGGAAGCTGCTACTGTCGGTGAAATATTCAACATCTGGATTCTCTAATGGAAGACCAATAAGGTCTTGAGGAAGACTGACAGTGGTAGAGAGCAAGTCCATGCACTCATGGATGGGTACCTGTGGATCATCATCTGGCAGCAGGGTTGCTGGGTTTATGACAGTAGTCTCCTTGAATTCAGTAAGGTCAGAGTTAAGCAAGAGGGCCTGGTATTGTACAGTCCTTGAGTTTGAGAGCCACCTGTAGGGTGGGATCCTGAGGAGGGTTTCAGTTGCATGAGGAGCCACAACTTGGAGTTTCTGTCCAAAAGTTAATTTACTTGCCTCTTTTATTATAAAGGCAGTGGCTGTGATGGCTCAAAAGTAATTAGGCCAGCTTGAAGAGACTGTGTCCAGCCTTTTTGAGAGATAAGCAGCTGGGCAGCGCCATGGTCCCAACACCTGAGTCAGTACCCCCTTTGCTATCCTATGCTTTTCTGCAATGTACAGCAGAAAGGGTTTGGTCAAATCTGGTAGGGCCAACACTGGAGCTTGCGAAATGGCCAATTTTAGTTTTTGGAACACTTCCTTTTCCTCTCAGTCCAAACAGCTGGATCAGAAGGGGTTCCCCAGTTGCAGTGTGGAGGTTTTGTGTTCAGCAATCAGAGAAGTATTGAAAGCGGAGCATGCGGAAAATAGCACTCTTTCTTGCCACATGGGCACCTGTCCACGACTTCCATCCAGCTCTCTTGTTGGGTGTGTGTCCTCACTTCAGGGAAGGTGTAGGACAAAACTGTTGTTCACCAGCAGAGTGCACCTCACTCAGTCTCAAGGAATGAAGTGGCAGGGGTAAAGGGCAGGGCCAGCACATGGCTTTAGGGCTCCTGCTGGCAACAAAAAGCATCACCGCGACTGAAGGACAAAAGAAGACACTCCCAAATAGGGGCAGGCACAGCACATATCAAAGGGAGTCAGGGAAGATGCCAGTACTTGTGGCCCATACCGACCGCCTTTACAGGATGACCCCAGTTCCTATCCAGCAGGCGGTATGATTTGAGAGACTTGTGTGTTCACATCAGAGAGGCCTCCAATAAAGGCCAACTGAGAAGTTGACAGACAACGCCCCAGTTAGACTATGGGAAAGAAATCAGGGTCCCAGGCCCGTCATTCCTCCCTATAGAGGACTCAGTCAACATTTGGGATTTTTTTTTTTTTTGGAATGGACACCAAAAATTGAACTCAGGACCTTGCCTTTGCCAGGTAGGAGCTTATGCCACTGAGCTTTATCTTCAGCCTCTGAGGCTGCATCTGGAGAGGAACATACCCAATGTGGCAAGGAGCAAAACTCCATGAAGGTGAACCTGCAGCTCTAAAATAAGAGCAGCCTAAGGAACAAGAAATACCCATGAGTCTTCACTCAGATAGCAACTGAAGAGTGTTGTGCCATGGACAATCAAACCAATGCAGAGTGCTCAGCACAGAGTATTTCTCTACCTTTACAGCTTTTAGACTGTGGCAAAATTCACAGGCCCAAACTCTGAATGGGTAAGTCACAAGACAAATGACGCTCACCAACTGCAATGCCCTGCATGCAACTTCTTTGCCAAGAGAAGTGGGTCACAGGAGCTGAGCTGTGTCAAGAGCCTGCAAGGCCTGCACAGGCCCTGCCATGCTGTACTCTGTCAGGAGACAGCAACAAACTCAGGAAAAGCCAACCTGGTTTACTGACAGCAGCAATGCTCCTGTGCTCCTTTTCCCCAGCAGCTCGGGAATAGTGCTTCCCCTGACAAGCCTGTGCAGCTGTGGCCACAACAGCACCAAGCTGGGATGCTTATGCCCAGTGACTTTCTGAGCGATGGCTACCTAGGCCACTGGGTCAGACTCTGCAGCCGTGGTTGAACTCAAAGAGGGCAGCATGATGCTCCATGCGTGGATGAGAAGGAGAACTAGAAGAGAAGATCACCTGGATGACTAGAGGAACCTGGGGGAGGCATCCTAAGCCTTGAGATTGTGCCGTGAAGGGTGCTTGAATGCTGCTAGGCCCCAGGAGTGACACTCACTGGACACTTCCAGAAAGATGCTATTCATCAATTCTTGACCTAGATAGTGCCTTCTATTGCAGTAACCACTTGCATGTGATGCATGCCGAAGACTCAAGCAGCTGCAGGAACAGAAGCCTGACAGCCTCAAGGACAGTCTCTTCCTTTGGCCCATAGCACATGGCACGCTTGCATCCTTGGCAGTCAGCAGGGCCAAGGTCAGTGCCTGCATCCTCACACCATGGAGGCCCCATCAAGGCGATCCTTTGTGCCTGGCTGCCTGGGGCATCTCACACATGGAATAGTCTTATGCATAGCACGCCATGTCATTTCCATTTACATAGCCCTCTGAATCTGCACTAGGAGATGGTGCTTACCAAATCCAATGAGCAGAAGGATCTAGGAACAAAAAGCTGCCCTCCAACAGGAAGTCCACATGGTAAAGCGGAAGGGGCTTCACCAACACAACGGTGCTGCAAAGCCACCCATGGTGCAACCTTCAACATAATCCAGTGGCCGAGGTGGTGGGCACCTTGTCAACATCTCTTCCTATTCTGCAAATTAGGACTACCAACGACCGGTTCCTGAGATGGGAAACACCTCTACAGGCAAGGGGCATGGAACAAGACCAGACATTGAAACACAATACCCAGCCAAGGCAAAATGACATAGTCCTCTACCAAAGGCTCAGCCTTCCCCGGTAGTTTTCTTCTGAAGGCTAACCCCAGGCCACAAAAACAGCTGCAGGGTCCATGCAGGACAAAAAGAGTCAGAAACAAATGCCAACAGGACCCCGAATGACATGCAAAAGAAGGGTAGGACTTCCAGAGGTTGTGCCAGCTCACCAAAATTCAATATCAATCAGGAAACCTATGGGTTGCCCCCCCCACACACATACACACAGTTAAGGTTACTCGGGGCTCCAGGGGAGTGGACCAACCCTGAAATTATCAATCTTTTTCCAGTAAGACCCAAGGAGTGGTTTAACTGGTATGAAAAACCTCTAAAAAAACGGCTTACATATTAGGTCCAGCTTAAATTGCAAGGGTTCTCAATAATGGATGAATCAGGGACAGAACAAGAAGACGAAGGTACAGGAGAGCTAAGACAAAATTTTGGCGACATCTCGCCTCAAATAGGAGCAAACCTGGAAACTTGACTCCTCAAATGTGGTGCACCCAGCGGAAGTCACTTCCTCCCTCAAATTGCGGTAAATCTGCCCTAATTTTGGCGACTCTTCGCCCAAATGGGAGCAAGCCTAAAAACTTGAGTCCTCAAGTCATAGAAAGGAGAAAATCACAGCGCAAAATGAAAGTAATAAGTACTTGCCGGTAGAAGGAAGCAAAGGCAAAGAGATCCTGATGTCATCCGAAGAGTAGGAGCCTGAGGGGGTGGTAAATCCTGTAAAAGGTTGGATCCCAGACAGAAATGATCCCCCAAATGATATGGACAGAAAACTTAAAAAGCGCTTTATTACCTGAGCTCAGCAGTGACACTGTTCTGACTGCAGCCAGGAAAGTGTGCGCCTGAGCCAGGGGCTGCAGGGAGTTATAAAGTAGCAAGCCGCAAGGGGAGGGGTCAGAGTCTTAGGATCAGTTTGTCCCCAGAACAGAAACCAGGTAGCGGGTTACATGGTGGGTATGTTACAAAGTTGCAACTTAACTGGCAATTACACAAGTTTTACAGGAAGAGAACAAGTTATAATAAGTAGGGCACTTGATAAGTGTTCTCCAAATAATGGCCCACTGTGTTGTCTCTAGGGTGACTGTTAGCTTGACAAGATTTCAGTGAATAACATTTGTGTACCTACTGCTACCTCTCAATTTTACTTATAGTCCAGGCTTCTCCCATGAGCCTCAGACCCTTATAATCTTATATCCATCTTCTACCTGCTTAGAATCTTTGCTGGATGTACCTCATACACCTACCTAGGGCTCAGTATATTCATTTGTTTGTTCATTTTTTTGTTCTAAATGAACATTTTCAGTTGGTACAGTGCTTTTCAAACTTAGCTGCATTTTAAAATCACCTGTGAGGTTTAAAGAGTACTAATGCCTGTATCTCATTCTCAGATTTAGTTGGCACAGGAATAATGTCACGTGGTCTGGACAATGAACTGTTTAAAATTTCTTATATAAGTTTAATATGTAGTCAAAGTTGAAACCAGTGTTGATGGAATCACCGTCTATCATCTCACTAAAGCAGGAGTTGGTGAACTATGGTCCAGTGCCAAATCTAGCCCTCTGGCTGGGTTCATTAACAAAGTTTTATTGGGAAAGAGCCATACCAATGATTGCTTTTGTATTACAATAGCAGAGCTGAATAGTTGCCACAGGGACCATATGTACCAGAAAACTGAAAATATTTACTCTAGCCTTTTGTAGAAAACATTTACTGAACACCAAGATAGTGTTCAACTTGGCTGCTACTCTTGTCCCATTATACTCATTTTTGTTGTCTGCCACAGTATCTAATCTGTCACACAGAGACCTACCAATTTATTTACTTATTTACTGGTGTATATTTTTGATACTAAAATATTTTGCAAGGGCTAGAGATTTAGCTCAGCAGTATAATCACCTGCCTGGCAAGCACAAGGTTCTGAGTTTGATCCCTGGTAACAAAAATAAATAAAATATTTTGTATACATCCTCCATCTTCCTTTCCATGGTGTCCCTCATCATTTTTTGCCGGAATTACTGCAGTAGCTTTGTTACTTTTCTCCCTTTCTCTGGTCCATTCTCACTGCAGCCAGAAAGGTTTCAAAGAGAACAAATATAATTGGGACATTGACTTGCTCAGAAATCTTCAATTTCTCCCCATAACTTAAAAGGTAAATTATTATATGTATTTTTTATCAGGCCCTTACTTAGCACATCAGCATCAACTCACAGGTTGCCCTCCTTCGCCTTACTCTCTGGAATAAAGAACTACTCAGATTTTCTTTCTGTCTTCAACTTTCTAGTTACTGCTTTTGTATTTTTGTTATTCTCCTCTCACATCCATCTTTTTCTGATAAACACTTAGACTGTGCTGTCCCTCAAACTCCTGAGCTCAAGCAGTTCTTCTGCCTCAACCTTTGGAGTAACTGAGAGCGTACGCATGCACTACTACGCCCGGCTTTTACTGAAGTTTTTACTTCCCTAGGAGACTTGCTTTTTCCATATTTCCCCATTACCTCCTCCATCTTCTAACAGTGTTTTTTCTGTGCCTCATAATATGCCATCATAGAGTGAAAATGTTTTATCAGTACGCATGGATCTGTTTTCTCTCAGGTCTGAGATTCTTAAAGGGTAGTATTTTACTAAATTTTATTATTCTCAATATCTTACATAGTATAAGTGGTTGGCCAATAATTATTTATTGAATGAATAAATGTTTGATATGGTGTACATATTCCAGGTTAAGTGTCAAGATTTTTGTATTCAGTTGGCAGAATAGTCATAAAAATGATGACTGATTTATTTTTTTCAAGTAAATTCTTTTTAATTTTTCTAAGCTTATATTGATTCACATGATTTTCCTGTTAAAGTCCTTATTGGGGTGATGGAATTTTTTCACTCCTTCACTTACTTGCCTCAAATTATAACACATCATTTCTATTGTGTATAGACAATATTTCTCAAACTTTAAAATACTTAAAAATTACTTCAAAACCTTATATAGATTGTGATTTTTGGTTGGGGCCAAGATGCCTATGTTGTTGCTTCACAAATCATATTTTGAGTTCCAGAATGCTAGAAGTATATTCCAGATTACTTTCGTAAGCAGTTGATCAAAATAGTTTTCAGTTTTCCTTTTGCAGTGTATTTCTAAATCATCATTTTCTATTTTAATTTCATCTTTCATTTTTTTATTTTTATATTTTAGCAAGAAAGTGACAATGCTAATATGTCACCACAATCTCCAGTATCATCTGAGGTACAAGTTCTGTTTTGTTTGTTTGTATATGTCTTTTGTGTTTTATGTAGGGTTCTTCCTTGCCTCTTCTTTACAGTCATCTTTTTTTTTAACAAGATAACATTTACTTCTATTGTAGAATCTATGGTAGGTTAGGGTATACAAACCTTTATGAAAGATTTTAATGAGGGGCTGGGGATTTAGCTCAGTGGCATAAGCGCCTGCCTTGCAAGCAGGCAGTCATGAGTTCGATCCCTGGTACCGATAAAAAATGGAAAAAGACAAAAAAAAATTCTTAAAAAAAAAAAAGATTTTAATGATACCATTTTTATGTAAATATTCATGTTAAATATCCCTTGTTTGTGATTTTAGGGGACAGTATCTATAGATCACAACAAGAAAGCACTATGAAATGTTTGTTTTCTAATTTATCTATACACTAGTTCCTCAGTTCACAACTCAGTTCTCTCCATGATACTGATTCTAAACGGAACTGCATGAGAACCAAATCAAATTTTCCCAAAAGGTTAATATTGAATCTGATATTGAATTTGATTTGATTCTTGTCCAACTTAATTTGCTACCAAGATCCTAGAAGGAATGAAGTTCATTAACATAGATATTTTAAAATTTGTGTTGAATCATCACAATGGCTTTAAAGTTTTTAATTTGAAAAGGCACTTTAGCATTGTACAATGGCCTTTGGTTTTTCTTGTAACCAGTTAGGTCTGAAAGCAATGCAAGAGAAATTTCCTTTTTCCACGAGAAACATCCCTGTAGTGGGTTGTTCCTATCGACAGGAGGTTACACATTTCCTGGCATTTTAGGGGCAGTGCATATGGGGAGAACCAGTGTATGAAAGTCACAGCATGTAAAATTTTGACAGATCAAATACTCTGGTAGTTTAAATGACTGATTCTTCTAATTTACTTTAACCTCTGGCTTTATAGTAAAAGATTTAAATTTAAAACGTTATAAGCAGTATCTTTTCTACTTCAGATTATCTTATGTATATTATAAAGTGTACTGACATTAGTAAATAAATTATTATACATTCATATGGTGAATTCAGGGCTTATCTAAATGTTCAGACGGCCCAAATTCACTGTATAACTTTGGTTATATAGATAATATTTTACTATATATTAAATGTCACTGTTTTCTTAGAAAGTCAGGATTCTTTATTGTTTTGTATGAATTACTTTATAAAACATTTATATAGATTTGTTGGGCATGAGTTTTCTGAATTATCTGGAAGGTAAAATATTATACATGTTTTTAGGAAATAAATTAAAATATCCCAAAATTTGTCTTGGTCACATGTTTCTGTAAATCCTTTCTTTAATTTATATCAATACAAATATAAGTGACTACTACTTGTTTGCCTAGTTCCTTAATGATTTTATGGTTTATGTTTACAGAGAAAGGTATTAGTGCCAATTTTCTCATATAATTTCTGTTGCTTTCATAATACATTTTTGCTTATATTCAGATAAAATCTTTTATAGGAATTTATGACTAACCAAAAAATGAAAAGAAACTGTAAGGGTATGGGTGGATAGGTTGATAGGCATGTGTTTTCATAGTTCAACTAGCATCCAAATTGAACTACATAGCACTTGTTAATCAGTAGAAGATTCAGACACTCCAGAATTCTGAGTGCTTCAGTTTCATATGAAAAAATGCTAAAAGAAAAAATTTACTGTAGTAAAAACAATTTGCTTGCCCTTACATTTGAACCAAAAAGTAGTCCCATTACTGTTTCATTTTCATCATTTTACAGTTGAAACAACAAATAATTTTCCCAAAGAGCCCAATCAACAATAAGCAGCAGAAAAAAAGCGGCTACAGCCTAGGTTCTACTATTTAACAGAGTTGTTTCACAGATTAAATAAAATGCTGCTAAGATTACATTATTTTATCACTTTACAGTTGACAAAGAACTTTCATTTAATTACCTCATTTGATCTTCACAGTAAACCCATTTGAGAGGTGAAGAATCAATTGTAGGAAATTAAATGTTGTGTTGAAGACATAGCCTACAATTTCTGATTCCCAAGTTCAGATTTGTTTCATATGACACATACCCTTCCATAGCACACCACTGTGTGTGAAAGGACTTTGAAATAATGTGAATTCAGATAGAAGATAATAAAGTATCACGATCCAATATTCTATAACCCCTTTTAATATGAATATATAGATTGGTCTTGAATTATCTACTATGTTAAGTATCCAGTCAATAGTAGATAAGAAGTAAGTGTTGGTAAATTTATAAATCTGTAAGTATAGTATATTGTACTTCATTACTTTACAGACTTTAGTGTGTTTTTCCCCCCAAAAAATAATTTATACACTTTGCTAATAATGATCTTTTCATTTTCTTCATACTGTGAGAGAGAAATATTTAAAGGCAAAATTAGGTCAGTTAGCAAATATTTAATATTGACTACATAGGATCAGACTGGTCTGGAACTTACTATGTAGCCCAGTATGGCCTAAAACTCAAGGCTATCCTTTTGCCTCAGCCTCTCAAATGCTGGGATTATAGGTGTGTGCCTCCATGCCCAGCCCAGAGTTGATGTTTTTTTTAAAGTGGCATATTATCAATTTGAATTGAAATGCAGTTGCCCTCTTTTCCACTAATCATTAAAAAAAAGGTAGCTCAAAATCGGTGTGGATATGTATATGTACCTTGATTATTTTGAAAGAAGAGTTTTATTTCTTTTCTTTTTAGGAATATGACAGAAGTGATGCTTTTTCACATGGTCCCTTTGGATTGAAACCTAGATCAGGTAAATACATATTTTTGAATAAAATTTATTTTTGTTTAAAACTGACATTTCCCAACTTAAATGTCATTGATTCCGTGATTTTATGTATACATAGATTCTTTCCCTTCTCCTAAAAGCAACTCTCCATTAACCTTATTTGTGTTTCCAATTCTCATTTCCACTTCTTTCTTCCTCTTTACCTTGAGGCTCCTAAAACCTTGCCTTTTGCTTCGATATACTAGGCGTATTTCTACTGTTTTGTGATTGCTGTTGGGATGACCACTGCCAGCAGAACAACCACTGTTTGGAATTATAGAACTCCATTTTTTTTTGTGATTTTAAAAAGGTATCTCCTATTTGACAAGCCCAAAAGAAATGGATCCATGTTCCTTGGCAAGATACTGAATTGTAGTTTTTAATTCCTAAATAGCTATACTGACCTTCAAGAATAATTTCTTGTTTAAAATAATCAATTGCCATGCTCAATAATCACTTAGTACCTGGGTTGTGAGGTTTTTTTTAACGGGTGATTTAATATTTTTTATTTTTCTTTTCTTTTTTTTATTTTTAAGGGGGTAAAATTAAACACAACAAAACAGGACATAAAAAAGCAATGTAAATTTCAAAGCTAAACAACCTGAGATCTTCACTGTCTATCATATTGTCGCTTGTTTTCTTCCAAATAGTTGTCCATGTTTTCGCATACAGAGAATTCATACAAACAACAGCATAAAGCTGATCTGAACTGAATGAGGAAAGTGTTTTAGGTCTTCAAAACTAGACAATAGGGAAGTCACTAATGGCTGTCGTAGTCTCTCATTCTTTTCAAAATAGCTGTCCATACTTTCATGTATATTGAAGTTCTACAAAACAAAACAGGCAGAGGGGGAGGGGTTGCTTGGTTTCCTGGTGTTCCAGGTCCCAGCAAGATGTGGGTCCCAGTAAACGGCTCCCGTCCTGGGCCACCACAGCCTGCCACACTCACAGCTGCTCACCAAGGGTGGTAGGGGTTGCTTCAAGCTGTTTATTTCTAATGAATTGACCATTTCACTGCCCAAGTTCTGAAATGGCCAACAGACCATAGAAAGACATCTCTTTAGGCTCCTGCTTGAAACCAACAGTGTCAGGAAGCTGCTGGCCTTGATTAAGGGCCAGGAGTTTTTAATACCATATGTAAAAATAAAAACACGTTAGGTGGTAAAAATCATTATACTTGTGTTCCCTTTTGCTTTCAATTATGTAGACTTCAAATATACACTAGAAAAAATACTTAGATCGTATTAATAAGTATTAGTGTTTTATGTAGTTTTGTACTGATCCTATTATTCCTTTCTCCATCAATGTCTTTTCCTTTTACTGGCTTTGTAATTGAGTTAGTAAGTTTCTGTTTTTATAAAGCTTTTAGCCGCTCGTCCCGCCAGGAATATGGGGCAGCGGACCCAGGATTTACAATGAGAAGAAAGATGGAACATTTACGGGAAGAGCGAGAGCAAATACGACAACTTCGGAATGTGAGTCAGATTGACCTTTCTAGAAATTGTTTTAGGGTAGAAAATTGAAAAAGTAGAATTATTTATTTATTTGACCATTAGCAGGGCCAGGGATTTAGCTCAGCGGCATAAGTGCCTACCTGGAGAGCACAAGGTCTTGAGTTCAATCCTTGGTAATCGCCTCCCCAAAAATTAGCAATATAAGCATATGATATATGTTTAGATAGAATATCTGTGATTCATACTCATTTCTTTATAGAATCTTGAATCCAGATTAAAAGTAATTTTGCCTGATGACATTGGAGCTGCACTGATGGATGGCGTTGTTCTTTGCCATTTAGCCAATCATATAAGGCCACGCTCTGTAGCTAGTATTCATGTACCATCACCAGCAGTGGTAAGTTATGTCTATTGTTTGTCTGTTCTCCAAAGGAATATATAGCTTCTTAAAATGTTGAGTAATATACTTCAATAAATTTGTTTTCATTTTTAATTAATTTCTGTATAAAAATGCTTGAAAATGCATGTTTTCCTCTTTACAGCCCAAGCTGAGCATGGCAAAATGTCGAAGAAATGTAGAAAATTTTCTTGATGCTTGTAAAAAGCTGGGTGTCTCACAGGTAATTATTTGCCTAACAAAATGATCATTTAAGTATTAATTTGTTACATGAAAGCTTGAGCTTTTACAATAGCAATGAGCCATGTTTTCTGAATATGAAAACTAATATCTTTTCTTAATACCCTCTTAAGTAAGATCCAATAGATAGCTGCTTCCAGCAGCTAGCCAATAAATGGTTAAAGCTGCTTTGAATTCATTTCTAATATAGCTACCTGTATGGAAAAATTTATTAACCACATACATTGCTGACTGAACATAAGTTAGTAGCCATTACTGTAGCTTGGTTGTGATGCCATTGCTACTACCATTTTTTCTATTGCAATGAGGGTATATAGATTCCTTTGTAAATTCATGGGCGACTGAGTGGAAGATGAGACTGCATCAGGCAAGCAGCACTTTAAACTTTACTGAACATGTCAAACTGGAAATCTTAGAAACATATAGTATCTGCAATTGACAAACTTTGAAACTTATAGGAATTGGCTTATATTTCACATGACAATTGAGGTATTATAAAATTAATGATTAAAGTAATACTGTAAATAGAAAATTTGGGAAAGTTCATTTTTTCCTGGCTAGTATGACATTGTACTTGTTTTGTTGTTTCTATTTAGTTTTATTTTTATTTCAGTGTGTTTCCCATCAACTCAAAAGTAGTAATATACAGTCTTTATTATTTAATTATTTTTGTTGTAAGATATTTTCTAATTCATAATAGCTTTACTTAGGTATAATTGACATACAGTAAGATCTAGATTTTGAGAGAGTGCTAGGGATTGAGCCTAGGGCCTCGTGCATGCTAGACCAGCACTCTACCACTGATCCATATCGCTAACCCTGATAGGTTTTAATACATACTTGTATCATGAAATTGGCACCACAACTGAAGTAACAAACATCTATTGTTCTCCATAATTTCCTTGTGTCCTTCTGCAATTCTTCTTTTCCCAGGCAACTACTATCAGTATAGATTAGTTTGAATTTGCTTGAGTTTCTTAGAAGTAAGTTGATACACTGTTCCACATTTAGAACAATTTGTAATTGTAAATTTTTAGATAGACTTTAACTGGAGTATTAGGCTGTACCAGGTTGACAGCATTTCAAACTTTATTGAAAATATCAAATTGGAAATCCTAGTAGTATAATATCTGAAAAATTAAAATTGATTTTTTCTGACTTTTCACTTAGCATAATTAAGACTAGTTTGTGTTGTTATCTGTATAAATAGATAATTATTTTATTTCTGTGTAGTAGCCCACAATGTTTTGACGAAATCGTCTTTGATAGGCATTTTAGAGGTTTTTTTCAGTTTTAGGGACTACTAAAAGTAGAGCTGATATGTACAAGTCTTTGATGGATACACATACACACACACACACGTATATATATGTATATATATTCTTTAATTTTAATTAAATGCTTAGCTGTGAAATAACTGGAATATGTTATAGATACATGCCTAGCATTTTAAGAAAGTACAAAATTATTTTCCAGAATAATTGTATTATTTCAAATTGCTATTAGTGGTGTATGAGAGTTCATTTCCTCTCCCTCTTCACTAATTCAAAATAGTTAATATTCTTAAAATTTTAATCATTGTAATCAGTATATATTGGCTTGCTAATGCAGCTTTAATTTGCATATCTCTGATGATTAATGATGTTAATAATCTTTCCTGAAAGTTACTTCTTTTCTAGGGTTTGCTTGCCATCTGCATATTTCTTTTATTGCAGTGTATTTTCTAATCTTTTGTTTTTTAATTGGGCCATTTGTTTTCTTAGGATTAAGTTTGAAATTTCTTCAGAAATTGTGGATAAGTTTCTTTATTACATGTTTAATTCACAAATATTGTATACTAGTCTTTGGATTTCTTAATTCTTTATAGATTGGCTTTCAAAAAGCAGCAGTTAAAGTTTTTGACATTTATTTGTTAAGTGAATTATTTTTTGTGTCAAACTTGAACAACTCAAAGTCACAGAAACTTTTCATATGTTTACTTGTAGACGTTTTATAATTGTAGGTTTTACATCTGACTGTATTATCAATTTTGCGTTTATCTTTATGTATGGTGACAGGTACAGTTCTGGTTTTGTTTTTAAACTGAGATTTGGCTCATGAATTGATTTTTTTCAAACATCTTTATTGAAATATAATTAGTATTTCATAATATTCACTTACTTAAAATGCATGATTAAATGATTTTAATCAGAGTTGGTCAAGACAGTAATCTTTAAAAGCAGAATTTATTGTTACCCTTGAAAGAAACCTCTTACCCATTTGTAGACCCTTCCCTAGTCCATCTCATGAATTTGCTTGTTCTGGACTTTACATATAATGAAATCATGTAATATAAAGTCTTGTGTTTGCTTCCTTCACTTGAGTATATTATTTTCAAGGTTCATCCATGTTGTAGCACAAATTAGCAGTTCATTTCTTATTATGGCTAAGTGATATTCCATCTTATGCATATAACACATTTTGTTTATTTATTTATCAGTTGGTAGACATTTGGTTTGTTTCCACTGATTATTTATTATGGATAATGCTGAAGTGAAATTTGTGAATAAGATTTTATTTGAACACTTTCCAGTTTTCTTGGTTATATACTTAGGAGTGGAATTTCTAGCTCATATAGTAATTCAAAAAGATGAGGAACTGCCAACATGTTTTCCTCAATGGCTGCAGCATTTTATATTCCCATCAGCAATGTGTCAAGGCTCTGATTTCTCCACATCTTCTAGAACAACAGTTACTGTCTGCCTTTCTAGTTCTCGCTATTCCAGCAGGTGGTGGTTTCAATTCGCACTTTCCTACTACTAAATGATGTTAAACATCTATTCATGTGATTATTGACTATATGTATTCATTCGGGAGAAAATGTCTTTTCAAAGCCTGTGTGCAGTTATTAATTAGATTACTGTAAGTCCTCGATTTAGGAATGTGTTCCACTTTACAAGTCTGATGAAATGAGCCTTATATGCCTTTGACACAGATACATAGAGCACATCACTTTGCCCTTCCTAGCAGTCCCCTCCACATCATCACTGATTTTCCTCTTGTTTGTGGACATCCTGGGCTGTGAACACTGTCACACTGTATAGTAAACACCCAGCAGTATAACTGTGACAGTGTCCATCAGACATGATGAGCTCCTTCTGTGATTTGTTCACATCTAGAAATGTTTTTGATTGAAGTATGTTTATATTTGTTAAAGTTCACAACTCAAAATGTTTGTAAGTTAGGGTTTATTGTATTAATCTTTTTATGGAATAGTAGTTCTTTACATATTTCATGTGCAGGGTGCTTTTGAGATATACGATATGGAAATATTTTCTCCTGTGGGTTGTCTTTTCACATTCTTGGTTCTTTTGTTGTTGTTGTTGTTGTTGTTATTTGTGTGCTGGGTATGAAACCCAGGGCCTCAATCATTTTAAACAAGTGCTGTACTACTGAGCTACACTCACAACCACATTTCTTATCACTGTAGCACACAAATTTTTAATTTGATTAGGTACAGTTTACTCCCTTTTTTCTTTTGTTGCTTATGATTTTGATGTTACATCTAAGAAAACATTGTATAATTTAAGGTCATAAATCATGCATATATTTTGCCTGTATATTTTATTATATACATTATGCCTATATTTTTCTAAGAATTTTATAGTTTTGGTGTTTATATTAAGGCTTATGATCCTTTTTAATTCAGTTTTTGTGTGAGGTAAGGTTCCAGATTTTTTTTTACACATGTATATGTTGTTTTCCAAGTTTTGATTAGACTTTTTATTATTAAATTGTGTTGGCACCTGTTCAAAAATTAATTGCCATAAATATAAAGCTTCCTTTTTGGACTCTCAATTTTTTTCCTGTTGATGTCCTAATACAAATTGCCACATTTTTTTGCTTACTGTAGTTTTGTAGTATGTTTTGAAACCAAGCAATATAGTACATTTTACATTTCCTCTGGCTTTCTTCCATTTTGAAGTTACTTTGACTTTACCACATTTTCCTATCAATTTGAGTATTAACTTGTCGATTTCTGCAAAATAGCCAACTGGAATTTTGTTAGGGACTGAATTGAATCTGCAGAAAAAATTTAAGCAATATTGACATCCATAAAAATGAAGTGTCTTTCCATTATGTACATTTTTAAACATTAATTTCAATAATGGGTTGTAGTTTTCAACGTATTTCTTTTGCTGCTTTTGTTAAATTAAGCCCTTAATATTTTATTCTCTTTTAAGCTAGTGTAAATATTTTCTTAATTTAATTTTCTTTCTTTTTTGGGGGGGGAGGGATTGAACTTGCAATCTTGCACTTGCCAGGCAAGTGCTTATGCTGCTGAGCTAAATCCCCAGCCCCAAATACAGTTTTCTTTTTTTTTTTTTTTTTTGGTACCAGGGATCAAGCTCATGACCTCACATTTGCCAAGCAGGCACTTATGCTACTGAGCTAAATCCCTGGACCTTAATTTAACTTTCATATTTTGTCTTGCTACTGTATAGATACAACTGAGTTTCTTTTATTGATCTTTCATTTTGTGACTCTGTTAAACTGATTTATTCTAATAGTTCCTTTGTATTTGTATGCTTTAGGATTTCCTCTATACAAATCATATTATCTACAAATTGCGTTTTATTTTTTTCCTTTCAGTCTGGATACTTTTTGCTTCTCCTTGCCCAATTATCCTGACTATAATCTCTATTAGTAAAATTGAACATAAGGGGTGCCAGTGGACATCTTGTCTTATTTCTTGATGTTCGGGAAAGCCTTTAGTCTTTTATCTTTTAGTATGATATCAACTATGGTTTTCTAGAGATAGCTTTTTGGAATTTGAAGAGTTTTCCAAAGGGTTTTTTTTTTGTTGTTGTTTTAATGGATAGCATATTTCCCACAGCTGTTTTTTTGTTGTTGTTGTTGCTGTTGCACTTGTTTGCTGTACTGGAGATAGAACCCAAGAGTGTTGTGCCTCTGATCTACATCCACGGCTCCCCAGACCCCTTT